CACCCTTCAAAAGCTTCTCGAGTTTGTAATGAGTTGAGCAATGGAATCAGTGTATGTGACAGTCCTATATTTTCAGATATCTTATGAAAATCTTACAGAAAGGCAACTTAATCAGGATGACGCTGTATTCTAAAATCTGTATTCCTACAGTGATCAGGAACGAATGGTGGTTTGCGCCATACTGCAAATCTGAGCTGGAGCCAGTCCTACAAAATGATAACTAAAGGCTGGCAAAAGACGGTGGGAAGGAAAATATCAACGATCATATGTTTATTCTTGGGATACCCTACTTATGTAATCACAGTCAGCAATGTTTAATAATCTATCAAAGAACATTAATCGTTGAGTTTGACAACAATTACTTCTTAATTTAGCCCGAAACAGAATATACGGTATATAGCGCAAGTGGACCGCTCTTGAAGCCAAGCGTTTTGAAATGTCATTTTTGAAAAGTTGCTAAACTATTTTGTGATCAAATGTTGATACCGAGAAAAAACAAACAGTTTGAGAGATCATATTTTCTTTAACGATGCTACACTCAGTACGGGCAAAACTTCATAATGTAATTTGTTCTACTCCGCCATCACAGCAAAAGAAAGCAATTTCCTTTCTTTTTCCTACTTTCGCACTTAGCCTGACTCTTATTGGATCATCCACCTTGATAATAATCCTAGAATTCGTCAAAATCATCTTAGAAGTTTCTAACATTGTAAGGTAATGTTTGTTTCTCGCTTACCATATCATCATTCAAATCCTTATCGAGCAGACCAAGATGTCGAAGACGATACATTGTTTCGAACACCATGTACGGGCATATCGCATCCGCTCCGAACCCAAGTAGAACACAAAAATCATGGACGACTTTTGCCTCACCGGTCTCGACCATAATCGCAACCTAAGAATACTATTTGACAACTGTTTGGATAACTTTTTGAAGATATTAAGTTATTTGTCGGTAGACTTAAGTAGTTTAACGTGTTTCGAGCGAAAAGATCAGATGTATTAGGTTGGTACTCAAGTGTTGTCACACTTCCTTCGTCTCACTCTGGAAAACTCTATAAAACTCGCATTAGGCATATATGGGCAAGGGTGAAATATCCCATGGGCATTATTTTCGTCTTT